GCCGAGACACTTCATGGCAATTTTCAAAGGAAAACTGGTTATCTTTGAAGTAAGACTCTTCTCTCAACTTACCCTTATTTCATTTGAAACATAAACACCCCACTTCTGGTTTTGTAACAGTACAGGGTAACACTTTATGATACGTGATATGGTAGGTAGAATTTCCCTAAAACTAAGTGGAATTTCAATGCATTACAATGAAATTATATTTACCTATAAATCCTCACTGTTAGATACTCTAGAATAAGAAGAGAATCATTCAGTTTTTACAACGTTACTGTTTAATGAAAAGAGTCACAAATGATACTGCAAGTAATTTAAATTACTGGTGTCTTACTTGAGCGTTTTATTTTTTTTATTGTACATTTACTCTGGTGTGCATCATGGATGTTTCACAATTCAACTGTCCTTGTATATTACATATAAAATATGAAAGGACACACGCCTTTGATTGCATATAAAAATGTGCTAATAATCGTTCTCCCTTTTCTACTTATAAGAAAAAACAAGCATAGGCCCATGTGATCTTTTATACTGATGGAGCCAAATCTTAATTCATATTTTTTATTTCCAGTTAAAATTACTGCAAAATTACACGCAAACCCAGACTTGGACACAAGAGAATCAACAATAAATTATTGAATATGATATATAAATACATATATTTATGCTTTTTCATTTGCACAGTTTAATAATTTATTTGCTTTCTTTTTGTTATTTTTACACAAAAAAACCCTGCAAAGTACAACACATTTAAAGTTGAAGATGGAGAAATTTTAGTTGTTCTTCTAGTAAATTACCTGATAGTATGCATTCATCAGCATTGCTTGCTCAATACTTCAAATTAGTTATGCATTAGATATAGTTATGGAAAATGACAGTATAATGTCTCCTTTCCTTTTATATCTGTAAAAAGTTGAACTTTTACCAACTTGATATTAAATTGTTAATTGTTAAACTACATTGTGATTATAGATGACATACATTGAAATGCTATTAAATTCTATGGGAATCACACCGTTTGTTGCTTGCCCTATTACAAAGTGCTACTCTGTACACGATATTTTTGTTCTTCCCTTTAGGGCGGCACATCTAGAAAAGGATCTTCAGAACCTGAGCCTCCAGTGAGATTGTTCCAGGTTCACGGGACTGACCAGTTTAACACAAAAACCATCGAGGTCCCAGCCCTGGCCACCTCTCTAAACTCTAGTGATGTGTTTTTGCTCAAGAGCCAAACAGGAATGTATCTCTGGTGCGGAAAGGTAAAAGATACAACTTTATTTTAGACAGAGAAACTGACAGGCCCTTTAGAGCATTTTTGTCTCTTCTTTAATGTAATATAATTCATGATGAAAGATATCTGGAGAGAAATGTCTAGCTATTTGGGGAGATTTCTTTCTTCACAGTGAGGGGTGAGTCACATTTCACACAGTATTTAAAAAAAAATCATTTTTCTAAATTAAGAGAATAGTCATTTTGAAAGTCTGAGTTTTGGGTGCATAGGTGAGGTCCCTTTGCCGAAAAGAGACTAATAAAAATCCCCTTCTGTCTATCACCTTTACATAGAAAATAGGAACAGATGACGGGTTCTTGCAGTAATTCAACGATGTGGCTTTACGATGAAGTTTTAAGGGCTAATGAGTAAAATATTCTTATCAAACTGATTTTTAAAGGCACCTGAACGAACAGTATTTAAGGTTTAGGTACCCTAAGGTTAGTAAGAGTAACAAGCATGTAAATTTTCTCTGAATTAATTAGAAACAGTAAAAGCAGCTGCTCCCTTGTCTGAAGGGGTTGCAACAGTGGTAGCTCCACATGTTTGATTTAGAAGAGTTTAATGGTGGATGTCCTTCCTCCAAAAAGTAATGTACAGATAGTAATTTTTGGTTTTTATTAAGATTTTAATATAAGTGTGCTGTAAGGACTGTAGAGAAATTGTTTCTCACAGTTTCGAGCTGACTAACTCAGCAGGCCCAGACAGGCCTCTGCACTTTTTGGGTGGAACCGAAAGTCATACCTTAGCATCTCTCATCAGGGCTTATCATAGCTAAGACTCTTGTGGCTGAAGAGAATCAAATACCAAAGGAAAGAGGGCATCATTAGAAGAGTGGAGGCTGTTAAGGAAACAAATTGATGGTCAATAACCATGAATGAATATGAATATAACTGGTTGGATGTATTTTTTGAGCATATAGTACATATATATATATATATAAATATAATATAAATAATTATATATTATATATCAATATATTATAAATATATTTTTATATATATATAGTAATATATATATATTATATATATATATATATATAAAAGTACTAGGACTGATTGGCTTTTCGGTCTGTCTGTCGGTGAGCATCTGCCCTTGCTGTGGTTTTGCTGAGTCAAACAGTTCATCTCTACCAGCTGCTGACTCAGCATTCATGAATTTCCTTCATAAGAATAACAAACATGTCACAAGATTTTCCTCATTTTCTAAAACCAGATTAAATCAAATCAAATGAACATTTTTAGCAAAATATAGGCCTATTGATGAGCTCTGGGGTCGGGGGTGGCATCTTTTTGTAAACCAGGGATCAAGTGGAGATGAGAGAGCCATGGCGAAAGAGGTCAGCTCAGCAATCAGCCAGAACTCACCACGAGGCTCTGAAGAGATTATTGCAGAGGGTCAGGAGCCCATTGAATTCTGGGAACTGCTTGGGGGGAAAGCTCCCTATGCAAGTGACAAGAGGTGAGGATAGTATGAACAGGTGAACCAACAGCTTCAAGTGTGACTTTTCATATGTTTGCTTTCACTTGGTTATGTGCCATCCGCAGATTGCAGCAGGTAGTTTTGGACCATAAGCCACGCCTGTTTGAATGCTCCAATAAGACAGGGCGTTTCATTGTGACTGAGGTGACTCACTTCATACAGGATGACCTCAGCGAGGATGATGTCATGCTACTGGACACATGGGACCAGGTAGGATTTTTGACAGGTTATTAATATGAAAATAACAATGAAACTCCACCACTTTAATCACATCCTGCTTTTTCTCCAGGTGTTTATCTGGGTCGGTAAAGACGCAAATGAGGAGGAGCGCAAAGAGGCACTGACAACCAGCCAAGAGTATCTGCAGACCCACCCGGGTGACAGAGATCCACACACCCCCATTGTCTTGATCAAGCAAGGCTTCGAGCCACCCACCTTCACTGGGTGGTTTGCAGCCTGGGATCCCACCAAATGGAGTGTGAGTGTTATGCTTTTGAGCTGAAATGTGGATTTCCATTTCTAATTAAAATAATCTTACAAATATTTCTCTTTCAGTCAGGAAAGAGCTATGAGGAGCTGAAGAAGGAGTTTGGAGATACAGCGTCACCTGTTAATGTTACTGTTGCAGTATGTAAAGTTTTATTCATTTCTCAAACTCTGTTTAGGTTAAAACTTGCAACAAAGTTCTATGTTAGCATGAAGTTTTAGCTCGTGAATTATTGAATTTAAAAGATTTAAAATTTATAGACCTTCATATCATAATCTGCAGTGTGGAGTGTAGCTATATTAGACCCTCAAGTGTAGGAAACAGAAGGCAAAAGTTCAAAATATTTATTGATGATAAATCAAAATCCAAGAATCCAAACACAAAGAGCAAAGCCAGGTAAGTAACTGGGAGCACTGGGCGTGTACTGCCACAGACACACAACTAAGTGGACAACACAATAAAGAGAACAAGCAAACTGGAGCTTTAAATGGGCACCAGAGATCAGCGAAAGTGGAAACATAAGAGCAACAAGACTCAGGTGAAACTAATCAAGGACAGTGAGACAAAATAAAAATAAGGACAAAGCACAAGAGCGAAATGACTCACAAAACAAAACAAGAACTATTCTGGAGAAGACTTGACAACAATATGCAAAAGGACACTGAGGAGGCAGGGACAAACTAAAACAAGTAAATAAATATAAATGCTCTAAACATGATCAGAAACCAAACAAAATAAAGAATATGAATCCTAAAGGCCAAACAAAAGTTCATAATGAAGGTAGAAATAATCTAAGCATCTGAGCGAGGAAATAAACTGATTAGGGACTGTTTACAAAACAAACAGAAATCCAACTGAAACCAAGCACAAAGAAAACACAATCAAAACCATGAAAGCCATCACAATATAAAGCACCTTCAGGCAACTGTTGTTGTGATTTGGTTCTATAGAAATAGACAATCAATTCATCACTATACTCTAAGTACACGGGAAACCAGGACACTAAACCACGAAGATAGTTTCGACATGGTGATTATTGGCTTTGCCTTAAATATACGTGTGATTAATATAATTCAGAGACAGGAGTAAAGAATAAGGGCCAGAACCTGCATTAATAAAGTACTGTGATTTGTATACTCAAAGATTGAGATTAATAATACAATATAAACCAAAATGTTCTTTTAATGTGATTTTCTAGGAGCAGAACGGAGGGAACAGTGTGAAAAGTTTTCAGTCTTTCCCACCTGACGATTTGAGAAACAAGCTTGCCAACGAGCTGCCAGAAGGTGTTGACCCGAAACAGAAAGAGGTATGTACGCGCGTTCCCAACGTTTCCATTTCCCATCAAATCCACATTTAAGTTCAAGATTTGTACGTGTATCTGCTTATTCATTAATTTAGTGATGATTACAACCATCACCAGTAAAACTCTGCAGCTTAAAAAATAACACGTGTGCCATCACTCGCTAAACTTTGTCACCTCATTTGCAGAAATACCTCTCTGACACTGACTTCACCACCGTCTTTGGAATGACCAAAGATGAGTTTGTGAGCTTGCCGCAGTGGAAACAGCTGAAAATGAAGAAAGAAAAAGGGATGTTTTGAGATTTTTTTTCAGTATTTGAAATAAGTAGTTACTGATAGAAGCCAGCTGTTGGGGTCTCTTTGTATGATCTTTCTTGCTTTTCATGTTTTTTCACTTACTAATCTTTAAAAATTAAAAAATTTATAATCATGAGTCCATTCTGTACATTTTAGTCAAATTACTTTTTTTTTTTCCAAAACTTTATTTTTGTAATCTGTGCTGCCTTTATGGAGTTAACACTATTTAGGAACTCTTGTGTCAAAATCAATGAACCTAACTGAACTATGAACCACAATCTCCCCTGCATGTTTGTGCAGTCGAACCCCGTAGGAGGCAACAGTTAACTCACACGTCTTATATTACGATATTTATCAGGATGTCATTTTTTTAACAAATGTGATTCTTACCAGGTTCAAATGAATGATTTAAATAAAACCTCAGATAAACAACATTGCACTGTCATTTATTCAATTAATAAAACGTAAGAATGTGAAAAAGTAAGTTCATGTTTCAATAGCTTGTAGAAACACTTTCAGCAACAATGATAATCATTTTCTGTATGACTGTATAACTTTCCTTGTTGTGGAGGAATTTTGGCCCGATCTTCCTTACAGCGTTGCTTCAGTTCATTGAAATTTGATTGATGTTCTAGATTGATTTTTTTTATTGTGTCCCAATATGTAAAATCTTAAGACATGGAAGATGGTGCATTTTCTTTTATCCCCATAATGGCCAATAGGATTAATAGGTTTAGAACTAAACTGAAAACTTTTTATAAAGAAGAAAGTAATTAAAATGATTTACTTAGTTGCACCCGGAACAGCAACAAACATTTGTGTCACTTACTTTGAAGTTACTCATAATATGAAAGTAAAGATGACCTGATTTTCCATCTTTTGTGCAAATAACGATGGAACACGATGTGCTCAAAATAAGTGAAGAAAACAGAAATCTCCATTCCCGCTTTCATTTGTAAATTGTTATCTTATGTGATTCCCAGAAATCAGTCTGAAAAAGAAAAGGCGACCTTTACCTTTAGTGTACTAAATATACAATCAGTTATACGATCGGTCATGAGTCTCCTAAAAATGAGGTGCTTAACTGATCATCAGAGATTTGAAAGATGAGCAGGCGTCAGCACGTTCCTTGATAATCAGGCTTGAATGTCAAGCTGCTTATTAAGTCATTATTTGTTTTTATTCACTTTCTCCATATTTTAAATGCAAGTTAACAGAAATGGCACAAAGCATTACTCACTCATTTTATTATGATATAAATGTATGGCATTAACATTTAAATTTGAACATCTATTTCAAAGCCAATGACAGAGCTGAAAATATTACAAACAGAAAAAAGGCATCATACATAAAAGGATGTATTTTCAGTACTTTTGTTTGAAATCAAAGAAAAAAAAAAACAAAAAAAGCAATTTGGCTGCACAGCAACATGTCAAAGGTCATTTCCTTTTCTTTTTTTGTATCACCGGGAAAACCTGAAAATGAACTGTCCAGCACCTATGGATGTTGGTGTTATAATTCATTTGCCATCACCTGACTGCTCAAGAAGCGGCCACAGTATCACCACACAGCACTAAAATAACAGTAACCTCCTAAACTTACATACATTTGACAGTCGATGCTACAGGTTATAAAGAACTAGCAAAAAAGTACCTCAGAGTACAAAGTCAACAACCTGTATTAAAACCAAAAAGGATACACAGCTAAATGCAGCAACTTCAACATAACCCGTGCAGATTTATTGTTCTGCTTCTGTCTTCTACAAGAGATCCATTTATCAATATATGCTTTTCTAATCATTAAAGTCCAGCCTGATATGTTCAAAACTTTAATTATTTGTCGACTTTGTTAAATCGACTTTGTAAACTGGGGAATAAAAGAATGATACATTGTCTACAAAATAAACTGACACTGAAAATCCCTGTTAAAAAGTATCTGTAACAGCAAATAAGACATATTATTCATTACATGTAGTTGATAGTATTGCATGCAAACACACTCATAAATGACACAAACTTGTGTGCATTTTGGAAATCAGTATACATTCATAGGTGCTCGTGCAGGCTACGGATCATAGATGAAGTGAAGAGTCTACTTTTGATTCTGGCACAATTTTTTAAAAAAAAGAAAGTAAAAAGGCATTAAAAATGTTACATACAAAGTGTTTTACAGCAATGAAAGACATCTGAAGAGGCAAAGTTCAGCAAGTTCCACTGCGAATGTGCAAACATGCAGCATGTCCTTGCAGCCAGACAAAAAAAATCCAGCCTGCAGTGGTCAGCTCATCAGGTCTGGCTGACACATTTGGTTAAAAAAGGGAATGTTGGCTTTAATGTAATCTGACAAATAAATGTCACAATATAAGAACTTTAAAAAGTGCAAATGCAGCCAAATCCATTTGTCTATTTTTTTTAATAAAAACACATAAAAATTTTAAGACTTTGAGGCTTTGAATAAATGAACAGCCTATTTGAAATCAACAGACTTCAAAGTTTGCATTACTCTTCCACAATGCCAGTCCTGCTCTTACTATTTTAAACCGTCTTCATATTTACTTGTACTTGTTATTGTTATATTATGAGAGAAACCAGCAACACAGCCTGATCAAAATCCTTATGATCAAATTTAAGTTAACAATAACTTCACAGAAAAGAAACCTCTGTGTTTGTAATGTCTTCTTCTGGTTGAAGCTAAAACAGCTGCTGTGGAGATTCTTACCGAGACAGATAAATCGTGACTTTTGTCTTGACTGCTTCTTGTGTATAAAATATCCTTCTTAAAATCAAAAAGGTAAACAGTCAAAGCAACATGGAGTATGTTCCATGTATTGCAACATGCATTAAATAAAGAAAAACCCAAACACTTACGACAGACTTGAATTAAATGATTGGCAAATAACATAAAGTAGTCAGCGAAATTTCAGCTTGTAAACCTGAGATCGTTCAGCACAATTTTTAAAAATGTAACTTCTACTACAATGTATCATAACTAGGGCTCTAACTAATCTTTTCAACTTTTCCTTATAGATTAAGCTGCCAATTATTTCCACAGTTATTCTACTAATCATTTTCTCATAAAATGTCAAACTATTGACTAGCAACATCTAATCTCAACTGATTTTTGTAAGAACAGAAATATCTAACTTCAAATCAAAATGCTGCTGGATTTTATCAAGTTATGAACTATTTTATCTCTGACCTTACTCAGTAGTAGATGAAACATAAATTTAAGACAAAATGCAGCTTTCATTGATTTTGGTGCCTTCGACCTCACTGTTGAGGGCGTCTCCATTATTAGGCAGGCTCTTCTTTGTGTTCTCTGCATCGTGAGGCAGCTCCAAACTGTCTCCGTCACCTGGAAAGATCCTGTCCTGCTCTGGAGTCTCATCGAATGCATCCTTGTAGGCACTTATGCTGTCCGAGTCGTTTTCATCCAGCAGGGGATCTTGTCCATCTGCTGCCCCGTTTTCATAAGGTCTCTGGTGGACCCCATCCTCAGCGACCAGGCTGCCCAGTGCAAGAGAAGGCTGGTGACACATGGGCTTATTTACCATTCTCCATTGCTTCTCCTCTGTGCCCTCACTCTGTCCTCTTTGCACTGCAGCTCCCAATTCATCTTTGCTGCTGTGAGAGGAGGAGCTCTCGACTTTGTTGGCATCATTTCTTATTTTGTGTCCCTGCATTGTTGCTTTAGCCATCTCACCTGGTCCTGATAGTTTGTTATTCCCTTCCTGCAAGGTGTAAACAAAGAAAAGCATAAGCAGTGCTCATTCATAGAAAATATAATTAGTGTTTTTTTTAAAGATCTTGAGCCATCAATCATCTCTTTTTGGAAAGAAAACAGGAAATATGTGCAGTAATTTATTGAAATGTGTAAACATACAAATAAAGTATATAAGACACAAACAAAAAGGATTTTGGCTGCCTTTTGTTTTTGCCTCTTTGACAACCATCTTGTTGGTGCAAAAATATTGTCTTATGCCCCCAAAAGGTGTCACGTTTGGCTTTTTCTGTACATTTTAACTAAATAAATCAGAACAAATGTTTAAAAATGAACTAAAATTGTTGTCTGTTATGTGTAGTCACAGCACTGGTTAATCCCTTGAGTTAGGTGTCTTTTTTAAGCTTGAATGAGTCATAGGTAAGTATTAAACTGCTTAACAACAACAACAACAAAAACAAATCAAAAATGTCTGTCTCCTTGGAAGCAAAATATAAATAAATGAGGAGTGGCCCCAAGACTTTTGCACAACATTGTATATTTTAAAGCTATTCTTAAGAATTTTTATTCCTACTCTCCACTCAGCTAACACTATCTAAACAGAGAAGATAAGAAAAGCAAGAAGTCAGACTCTTGAAGAAGAGCATTACCATCAAGTCCAGGTTTAAAGTAGAATAACCTGTGCAGACTCCTGATTGTCCTTCACACTAGACACTCAGCATAATTTAGTGGGGTACCAGGCTAGAGGTCAAGTGATCAGACTCTTTTCACCATGAAAAATGAAGAGATTACTCCAAAACGTGTTATGCACCACCACAAATTGTTTTTATAAGGACAACACAAGAATGGACGAGGCGTGGAAGTTTCAGGAGTGGAAAATGAGTAACAGTAATTGAAACAATTGATTGTGCCAGTCTCAACAAATGTGGCTTGGATACTTAAGTACTTCTGTACTTTTCTAACTTCTTCATTTCGTTTTCAGGGCTTTTTTCCCCAGAAAGACGAGACTCAGTTGCTAAAACCCTTAAGGACAAAACTAAACCACAACACACAGAAAATCTTGTATGCCCAGGCCTGCCATGTCTCCGGGTTACACACCCAGAAAAAAACAAAACAACGACATAGCATCGCCATCATTCATATTCACGAGCGATCACACGCCTGACACACTGTTGCGCAATAGGTTCCCTTTACATCTTTATAAACAAATTCGGAGCCTCTGCAAGCTTACATAAACGGTCTCACTTTACCTCTTTTAATCTTTCCACTTCTTGCATCAAAGAGTGCACCATGCTCTCCAGTTTTCTTTTGGCCTCCCTCTCTTGCTCCAACTCCTACAAATGTAAAGAGACAGCAGCAGCTCGTTAGTGTCACAATCTGTTGTAATCACAAACAACGAACTTTACTTGCACGCACGCACGCACCTAAGAGACTTTAAGACTTTACTTCGTGTTTTGGCTCGACCTGGACTTACCAAACTAGCCTGTCCAGCTTCTCTCTGGGCTTCAGCCAGCAGCTCCTCTACACCCTCCAGTGTGTCCTGCAGGACGTCCACCTGGAACAACAGAGCCTCTCGCTCGACCTCCAGCCCACGCAGCTCTTGCACAGCCTCTTCATAGCTGGCCTGCAGCTCTAGCTATATCACAAAGTTACACGGTAACAGATCAGTGTAGGCAACTTCAGGAGAATGCATGCCAGTCAGTGGGAGTGCTCGTTGAGCTCTCAGAGGCAACAATCTGTGGGAGGCCTCCTGTGGTAGCGTGACAATGCCTCCCTATGTAAAGGAATATGCTTCACTGCTGTGATTTATTACTGTGAGCACAGCCTTCAATAGCAGTAAACATCATTATATTTATAGCAACAATAAGGAGGATAATGGTGAGAAATCGTTACCATTTCTGGTAGTCCCATGAAGAGGTCCTGCTCAGATTGCTGAAAGGAAAACAAATAATTTTAATAAAAAACATTTGAGTATTTTGAGTTAAAATCAGCACAAAGCAGTTTAAATGAGGCATACTGGATCCTCTCCTGTTGGTCCCCTTTAACTCAAACACGAACGATGACCTTAAAATTTAAAGTTACACAAATTCAGTTATTATAAGCATCAAAATAAACTTTACTGCATCTTACAAAAGGTAGCTTTGATTATTTGTCCACTTTATTCATACGTGTCTCTTATAGGAGTTTGTTACTTATATTTATAAATCAATTAATGCCGACAGCTGCTGTCAAACACGTGTAAATGACTTAATACTGAATGGAAAATAAACATTGTAAATGTTTTCCCTTCAATTCATACCATGCCAAGTCATAACACGGTCATCTCGGGGCACTTTACAAAGTCAGGTCAACAACTTACATAATGAAGACAGAAATGTTCCCTTTAGGAAGCTCTTGGCCGCAGTAGGAAAGGAAATGCCTCCTTAACAGGAAGAAATCTCTGACAGAAGCACTTCTGTTTCCGCATTTAATATTGTGGCCATTTTCCCATAACTGATAGGCTTTTTACATAATTGATGACGCAGACAAAAGCTCTGCTCTAGTTGGGAGTTATTAGACTGATCTCCTGACCAAAAGGATCCCATTAAGAAAAACATACACAAACAAATTTAAAATCATAACTCAACTCAATGTAGCTGCTTCAGTTTCTGGGTCCTAGGAATCAGAATCAGAAACTTTATTGTCATTGTCACGAGAACAACGAAATGAAGAATGGTCCCCGATCATTGCATCATCCCTAGCAATATCAAAATATAAATAAAACAATAAAATTCAATAAATAAAATAAATAGAATACTTAAAATACTAATAAGATGTAACAGTAAAACATTCACATACATTCCCACACACATGCTTCAGGCCGTGCATAGATTAACACAAGAGTGGCGTGATGGACATTTTTTTTGTAGTATTCAGATGTGTTATTGCAGTTGGATAACAGCTGTGTTTGAGTCTATTAGTCCTTGCTCTGATTGCCCTGTACCGTCTGCCTGAGGGCAACAGTTCGAACAGGAGTGGCCAGGATGTGAGGTGTCTTTTATGATGTTTTGGGCCTTTTTAAAACAGTGGACGTTGTGTAGAACTTCCAGTGTGGGGAGAGGGCAGCCAGTGATCTTTTGGGCGGTGTTAATGATCCCTTGGAGTGCTTTCCTCTGAGCCCCTGTGCAGCTAGTGTACCAAATACATATGCAGTAAGTTAGAACACTCTCAATGGTGGCTCTGTAGAAGGACACCAGCAGTCTCTGTGCGATGTTATTCCTCCTGAGAATTCTCAGGAAGTACAGTCTCTGTTGGGCCTTTTTCAGCAGCTCGGAGGTGTTCACACTCCAGGAAAGGTTCTCCTCTATATTGACTCCCAGGAAGCGGAAGCTTGCCACCCTTTCTACACAGTCCCCATTTATGAATAGTGGTTGGATCTCTGCCTTTTTCCTTCTGAAGTCTATTATGAGTTCTTTGGTTTTTGAAGTGTTGAGGAGGAGGTTATTGGCCTTACACCATGACGTCAGCTGCTCCACCTCGTCTCTGTACGTAGACTCGTCTCCCTTGGAAATGAGCCCCACCACTGTGGTGTCATCTGCAAATTTCACAAAGATGTTGCTGTGGTGGCGAGGAGTGCAGTCGTGTGTGTAGAGAGAGTAGAGCAGTGGACTGAGCACACAGCCCTGGGGTGAGCCAGTGCTGAGACTCAGGGCTGAGGATGTGTGATGGCCAACTCTGACTCTCTGTCTACGGCCCGAGAGGAAGCTGTTGATCCACATGCAGGTGCTGTATGGAAGCCCCAGGTCTTGTAGCTTGGCCACCAGTTTGTGTGGAAGGATGGTGTTAAAAGCTGAGCAGTAATCCACGAAGAGCATCCGCACATAGCTACCATGCTCTTCCAGGTGAGTTAATGCAGCATGGAGTGCTGTGGCTACAGCGTCTTCCGTGGACCGGTTTGCTCTGTAGGCAAACTGGTGTGGATCCAGGCTGCGGGGCAGGGCTGCTGTGATGTGTCTGCGGACCAGCTTCTCAAAGCATTTCATTACCACTGGGGTGAGTGCCACCGGTCTGTAGTCGTTCAGGCCGGTGATGTGGGGCTTCTTAGGCAAGGGGACTATGGTGGAGGACTTCAGGCAGAGTGGGATAGTCGCCTGTGCGAGGGATTTGTTGAAGATCCTTCAACAAATCCCTGCGTAGCCTTGCAGTCACCCTGTCAGTTACCGAGTAGAAATACAACCATCTCGGTTTTTACAAAATATCTAGTTAACTTGTGACTTTTTTATTTTAATAATAATCTTTTAAAACTGGGTTAGTCATGCTGTACAACAGGCTTTCGGAGCTTTCAGATAGACGAGTTTGTTTAGTACAAGTTTAACTGAACTAGTAAAAATAAGGAAGCCATAAAAACACGAGATATCGCCATTTATTGCTGTACTAAAAGTTCAGAAGCAAACCATCTTCTGCAATTTGGAAAGTACGATTTCATGGTTTTACTGCTCCCGTCACTACTGGCAGTCACACTGTTTTCATTTCAAACATTTCTCTCCTAACTACAAAGAAAGACCCAGATATTTACAGATATCAACAGCTGTTTAAAAAACAATTTCATTTACTTTATAAATCCAGTGCCAGAGATGTCAGCAGGATCCACAAACTAATCCTCAAGCCTGGACCCATCATTGGCCAGAATTTGGAGGCATTCGAGTCAGTTAGAGACCGTAAGTCAGTGATCAAACTGCTCTCTGTCATGGACAACTCATCATACCCACTTTGCTCCACACTTCTGACCCAGCAGAGCTCCTTCTCACTGCCATAAACAACTCAGGAAATCATTCCCATCGTTCTCTATAAAGCTGTATAATAACTCCTCGTTCTATGACAGGTGGTCACACCTGTCCGACATGTGATTCCACACATATTTCTATTATACCTTCATGCACTTATAGCATACATATTATGTACTAATGCAGTTTGCATTACTCTTCCACAATGCCAGTCCTGCTCTTACTATTTTAAACTGTCTTCATATTTACTTGTACTTGTTATATTATGAGAGAAAGTTTTTCCATTCTATCATAGTATAAGAGCTTTACTAGACCCCTGTAGCACTTTAACTTTGTTAAATATTGTAGGCTGCATTATTTTTATTCTTCATCTTGCTGCTGTAGCATAATCATTTTTCTTGTGGATCTATAAAGTAGATATCCATCTATCCACTTTTTGGCACGACTGACCATAACTAGACACCACTCTGTGTCACAAGGTACAAACCTTTAGACTCTCGGCCTATGCAAGCGTCTCATCCCAGAGGTATTAGGTAGCACTGCGTGTCCATCACATATATAATGTTGTAACACTGAGACAACAATGAGTTCATCTCATCGAGTGTCAGTTTTTATGCTAGCTACTACCTGGCTGTCACTCCTCCTCTTCAGGGTGCTCGCTCTGCTGTCGCTTCTTGTCACACGTCTGGAGGAGCTGTCAGTCTGATGAGAAGACGAAAACACATCTCAGGCGGAGTCTGAGCATCACCATCATCATCATCACCTCATCATCATGAGCCACAACAACAAAACAACGAACAGCTAACAGCGCTAACGCCGAGGAAGTGAAGTGAAGCGACGGGCCTGACGACTGCTCCGTTTACCCTAGCCGTCTGTTTATTTTAAGTGTTGAACAAATTAAAAACACCAAACTTATTCGGTTATTTAAAACAGCTGTGACGTTTGACACTAACGTTAACGACGCCGTGATTTTTGTCCTCTCACCTCTTTAATAATACTGCGCAGAGACTCGTCCTCGCTCATTCCCCGAGAAAACGAGCGCTTCTTCGGTGAACCACTGCTGTCCAGCGTGACCGAGTGCATGTTGTACGCGTTATATTACGTTTTTCTTTATATAAGAGACACCTCCGGGCTCTCTGGCTGAAGTGGTGTTTTTTACTTGTTTCCTACGCAGCTACAGGGAGCTACACCCAGGCCCTGATCTACGGAAAGCCGCAGGGACCAAACCGTGTTTAACGCCGCCCTCGCTCCGCCCACTCTCTCTGAACAGTCAAATATCCGTCTTTTTAGGGAGACATGGGTCACGTTTGTGGCTGTGGGGGGTTCAAATATGACTTTTGGTTTGTTGTAAAGTTAAGCGATAGCATTCTGGTGCATGGCTGGAATTAATCAGTGAAAAAAGCCTGCCGTTTTTTTAGTAAAGTTATAGGTACTTTTACAAACGTGACCAGAACAATGAAAAGTGAGGTTTAACAGGACTTTTCCTGTGAGAAAATAAGAAATCCCTTTTATTCAGTAGCTTATAGAGCAACGTTTGGAAGCAGTGACTTGAAGTAATATTTTTTTGTATGATTTTATCAGTCTCACATCATTGTGGAGGACTTTATGACCCATTCTTCTTTACAGCGTTGCTTCAGTTCATTTCATTTATCTTAATGTCTCTTAAGATCTCACCAAAGCCATTTACTGCTTCTGTGCTTGGCATTATTGTCCAGTTGCATTACCCACATTGGGCCAAGCTTTTTAGCTGTTAGACATGTGGCCTCACAATTGAGTATACTTTGGTATAAAGAATAGTTAATGACTGCAAATATCTTTTAGCTGCAAAACAAGCCAAACTCATTACCCTTCCACCACAATGCTTGACAGCTGGTATGAGGTGTTTGTGCAAATATACTGTGTTTGGCTTTCTGCAAATGTGATGCTGTGAATTATGGTCAAAAACCTACACTTTGGTCTTGTCTATCCAAAGGACATTGTTTCAGAAGTCTTGAGGTTTGTTCAGATGCAACTTTGCAAACATAAACTGTGTTGCCATGTTCATTTATGAGAGAAGACGCTTTCTTATTCTTATTATTTTCTTATTTAATTACGAATTGAAAATGATGAACTTGGTCAATCATAAGTCATTTGGCTCAGAATAGTAAGGATTTCTACCACTTACAGACTCTGAAAACCACATCCTTTTATTCCAATAAACTGGAACCAATCTGAGAACACAGACAGCAATGCTTCTTTACAGAGATAAGCCAACTCCCGCACTACTCAACCTTGACAGCAACTTTTATTGATTAAGCTGTCAATTTAACCTTTTCTTTGTCTTTTCACTCTACTCGCATATAGTGATTTTTGCCTTGTCATGGTGTGAAAACACAGGTTTCTGACAAAGTTAACCTCCACAAGACCTGGATGCTGAAACTGAAGTGTTTGTACAACTTTACAAACCAAACTATTTGACAGCTGAAGAACTTAAGATGGCAGTCAATACATGACAAAGCAAAGTTTTTTTGTTTTGTCTTATTGTTGTTGTTGTTGTTTAACATGTGTTACTTATCATTTAAACAAAGGGTGAAAGAGGAAGTGGAGAAAAAGTGAACAACTGCAACAGGAAATGAGGAAACAGTTCAAACCCCCTAAATATAAAATGATATTTACACAGTGTATGACTCAAAAGCTGTACACTGTTATTCATCCCAGAGATGTGTGTTTATTGCACACAGATGATCATGACATAGTCTCATATCTTGATACAGGGTTTCTATAATTGTAGGCAAATGTAGTAATATATCAGCCTACGCACTGGTTAAATAGAAATGTTCATACAACTTCCTTCACCTTTAAGGTGATTGACTGAATACAAAATCTGCACATTGCTCTCGTGCAGCGGACCAGACCCTCAGTTTGGAGCAAAAACTCCAAACCAGGTTTAAATTTTTCCTTGAGCTTTCCTCTGAACTGTAGTTTGTCACTGCGTAGCAACAGTGAGGACTGCTTACTGTAGACTCAGTGCTGTGACACTTTGTTGAATCAATGACTGCCTCATTAATGACTGTTTATTCTGGGGTGCGTGAGATATAACTGTTATTCAAAAAAAGGCTGGCCTTTTTTACACCCATCAATGCAAAGACCATGAAGTTTACTGAAACCGGATCTATTTCACTGTGTATATATCATGTAGAAACCTCATTGATCATTTCACATGAAGTTTTACAAAGCCTTTCTGAGCTTCAGTGTTTGTATGTGGGTTTAGTATGTTAAGGCTCGGAGTAGATGTTAGATCAGCAAATCTGATCATGCAAATGATTCACACTTTATCTGCATACGTGAACAGAAAAACATGCAAATGTGCAGAGGACGGATGAGTGGCAACTGCAGTAGAATGAACATGAGTGTCTCATCACTTCAGGACTCATTTGTTTTTGTCTTTTGATCCAGTTTGCTAATGATTTATCTTAACGGAGCAAAAATTATTTTTCTGAAAGGAAGAGAATAACTAAAAGAGTTGAGCACATACCACCAGACATATTACCAATGCTTTCATGTCTGATGTCTCCAAGCCTGTTGTAAAAGGACGCTTTGATACTTTGGTACTGTAAAAATTTGTGAGATGACCAAGTAATGCATTCATTGCAATGAATTTCATTCGTTGTATTGGAGGTGCAATGGAGAATCCTCAGTTCTTTAGTAATGGATGAAATGTACCTAACCAATAGAGTTCCTGCTTTAGAGTGCAGCTCCTGAAGGTGAATTTTACAAAACACAGCCTCCAATGAACAGAGAGGCTCGCAGCTTTGAGACGAGACCTGCAGTCGCAACTATGTTTTTCTCCAGCAGATGTCGGTGTGGTCGCACAGGCTGCTCATCGCTCAAAGAGGTGGCGCTGCAAAACTTTTAGCCTATTTTGGAAGAATAAAAATTTAACTTACCCCCCCTCCAATGATATACATATGAAAATATGTATATGGGCGTGGTTCTTGGGCACCATTTAGATAACATTCTCACATGTTTATATATCGTTGGATGATGTTTCAGGAAAGATTGAAATTCCACAGCTCACTATAATTGCATGCGTCACTTGCTCATTAGTTCATATACTGATTGGTACAAATGGCATTCACACCGGTCTGTGTATACTAATGAGTCCATCTACGTTATAATTGAGAGCTTACAGACCTGCTGCTGCTTAATGGCTCAAAAGTCTCCGAGGTGTAGGGTTATTAAACATAATCTATCAAAATCATGATCAGCCTTTATGAATGCACCCTTGTACATGTGGAGCTATTATTTTTCAAGGAAACCGTGAGTGTGTCCTTTCTTATTGGTTTCAATGAAAACTTTCACTTTCATTTTGAAGAGCCTTACAAGAATATATCTAAATAATCTGCATAATACCATCTGGTCTAGTTACATGATAAATTCTTATCTTCGAGTTACCAGTTTAATTACACTATAAATGCTATGTGCACGCTTCAAGATTGGCTGTGGTAAATTTGCGAGAAATCCATTTAGCTTTTTTCTTTTTGATTTTTCTTTTTAAATTGGCACCATTGAACATTTAACCTATTTTAAAAAACAAAAACAAAAAAAAAACATGCGTAGTGAGCAGTTTGCCATCATCCTAATAACCTAATTGGGCTATAGGTTATCTCTAATGGGAGACATTGTTTGTGCACTGTAAAAACATTTATACTCTCTTAACGGTGCGCACACCCTCCCTTCCTCTGTCCCTCTTGACTTGGTGACAGACCTAAAAGCCTTTTGTTGCAATCTTAGCCAATGGAGGCGGATTACGACATCGGGCAGCTGAGATATATAAAGAGCGCCTTTTTGACCGTACTTGCACATTTTTCAGTGACACCTCTGCACATACTCACACCTCCGTGGACTAAAATTGTACAGAAAACAACAATTAGCTTATACTGCACGTGAGCAGGCTATGCATTCACCAGGCATTTAACTTTCAATCAAAGGAGCTTGTACCGACACCCTCTGCGCGCACTTTTTTTGTTAAAAGAAAAAAAAAGAAAAAGAAAGAATATTACAAAAAGAGAAACTTCGGGGTGATCGTATTGGATTAGATGCATGTCACTTATTCTTTGCCGTTTGTAGGCTAAGACGAGGAGCGGCGCAGATTCGAGAGACGGGATCTAACGGAATAAAGTGCGTAAAAAACAAGCTAAGGAAGGGGAGGAAAAGTTGCGTTTTCTGTTGTCCACGCATCGTCATGCCGAGGTACAACTTCTTACTGTGCTTGATGGTGCTCATCTCCTTGGGACAGTCGGGGAGCGATGAGCCCAATCTGCTGCTGCCTCCTGCCAGCGAGACGCCCACGGATGCCGGGCTATCTCTGCTGGACGAGGACGCCGGTTCTCACGAGTGTTCCGCTTGTGTTTGGAGGGAGCAGAGCAAAGTGCTGAGACTGGAGACCATCAAGTCCCAGATCCTGAGCAAACTGCGTCTGAAGCAGGCGCCCAACATCAGCCGGGAGGTGGTCAATCAGCTGCTGCCCAAGGCGCCCCCGCTCCAGCAGCTTCTGGACCATCACGACTTCCAGGGAGATGCTTCGTCCCAGGATGAGTTTATGGAGGAGGATGAGTACCACGCCACCACGGAGTCCGTGATTACTATGGCCTCTGAGCGTGAGTAATAGTTTACAACCTAACAATGATATTGTCTCCAAATGCGTCATGCGCGTAATTGCGGAGCAGGATAGGTTCAAGTGGCTCAGGCCTGCTGCGGGGACAGTCGGTGACCTAACCTACTCTTAGTGATTGAGATTAAAGGAAACTAACTGGTAAAATTAGACAGCTGTCAAAAAGAGGGGATAATGTGTGAAACTGATAAATCAATAACTGGTAGCACAAAGAACCTCATCACTCTGAACGGACAGCGCCAATATGGCTTGATTGACTTTTGTCTTCTTGACGATGATGATGATGAAGCAGAGTGTTTAATATTTAGCTGCTGGACTCCTAGCTGTCACGTTTAAACTCTCCATTTCTCCCATAACGTTTTAAGAACACGAGGCATGGCAGAGCCGTTTGAATGTCAAGTGCATTATTAATGATAATGCAGCATTTGGCTGGCAGTTGCATCACTTTATCCTTTAATGTCTTCCTTTGCATAAAGACCTTAAATTCTGGAGTTATCACATCTCGAGGCCCTCTGATTATTGTCCTCTAACAATTTGCTCGCCCTCCCATTGTTTCCCATAAATCTACAGATAAACCACAGGCAGGCCCCCTCTGAGACATTTTATAAAATTACTTTTGAACCCTGGCAGCTGTGCTCTATCGCTCTTTTATAGGAGGCTCTACCGGTTCCCCTGCTGTTCATCGCAGTGAGAAAAAGTGTGTCCAAAAAGCTGCTATTGTTCGCCTCATGCAGCGGCCCCCCTCGGCCGCACTTGCCTTTTAAATGCGAAGTTTATAGGCGCAGCTCGTTTTTTTTTTTTTCACCAAGAGTACACAAAGACAGAGAATCACTTAGGGTCGAGGGGAGTGTGTGACCTTTTCCTGGTGAAGCGCCGGGTTCAACAACATTTACACACGTAATATATTCTGCACAAGGCGGATGAAACACTCTGCAAATAATCCTTTTTTTTCACTCCCTGGTTGAACAAAGACCTATATATGTGTGTGTGTGTGTGTGTGTGTGTGTGTGTGTGTGTGTGTTTACTGCCACTCACCTGTAATGGAAAGCACCACCTGTCTTTGTCATTATAAAAACAAAAAAACATTAACTCAAATGTCAGCTATTGAAATGTCCTCTAAATTGCTCTATTTCAATGCAAGTTAGAGGAGGCCATATGTGCTGTTTAGTTCTCACATTATTAACATTATTTTGAACCTCAGACATCCTTCAAGTTTTCTGTTTGCGTTGATTGTTGTAACTCATAAAAAGGATATCAGTGCACAGATGATGTCTTACCGCAGGTGAAAGATTTGATTTGATTTCAAACTGCTTAATATAAGCAGCAGTTCATAAATACGTGAGTGCGGTCCCTGTTTTCCCTTTTGTTACCTGCTCACAAACACATGTAGAGTGTATTTGGTTTGTTATTGTTACCTCTCTGATTGGCTGATCAAGAAATCTCACATTCGACTGCATTGCTGACACACTCAGTGTACGTTCTGGGAAACACAGTGACTTCAAATTATATTTTTACCCCCGGTTGCCATCCTCTGCACTACCTCACATGCATACATATTCTGTTTCTAATGCACACACACACACACACACACACACACACACACACACACACACACACACACACACACACACACACACACACACAGTGCAAAGGGATTTGATATCTCATCAAGCCAGAGAAAGGCATTGTGTGAGCTTATTGCGCATTTCTGACAGCCCGACAGTGGCTGATTGACATTACTGCTGAATCTGTCATGTTAGGGAGCAGCACTTCCCCTCTCATCTGTTTGCCTCATCTCTTTACGTCAGCTACCCTGTTTTTTTATCATCAGCTCAGTCTCTCTCTCTCTCTCTGTATTCCCCCTCACACCCGCCTCCACCTTCTTCCCCGTTAGCCCCCTCTCTCCTTCCTCTTTTTTCCCCCCCGGTACTCATGGAAGAATTGAGAGAATGAGCGCATCTCCTTTGCCTGTGGCGCCTTAGTGATCCCACAGGATTAAAAGTGCCCTTTTCTGTCTCTCTGATAGAAGGAAGACTTCAAACACTATTCCCTGTGCACCTCGAACCCAATCACCCTTTCACGGTCGTGCACACTGCCTTTGATTGGGCCACGGGGGTTCACACAGTACATACTGAACTGGACTTGTGCCAGAGTTGCTTCTTAGTATTCACTCAAGGTACGTGGGTGCCGCAGTGGGGGTTGAGAGGGTCCATGCTTCCTGGTCTGTAATTACTATGAAATTTCATGGAAAAGTACATCTATTTATATCATAGTGCGGCACTTTATGCACTGAAACATCTCCCCTCTGTACAGCGTGCTGTTTAGGTAAACCGCTCCGCTTGTTTCCCTCACAGAAAAAGTGACTCGGCTTTGATCAGCGTGTCAGAGAATCTTTATTAACAAATGCATGCATGTGTATCTACGTGTGAGCTGCTCTATTTGTGTTCCTATTTGTTGATTTATGTGTCTAATTGTGTGTATTTTGGGGCTTGGTTTGTTTTGCCCGAGGTGGGGTGAGGATTTGACCCCACTAGTCTCTCATTTGTCACCTGTCCAAAAAACCTTCAGTCCAGACCTTCCTCTGCCACCGGCAACCTCCTCTTTCTTTTTTTTCTCCCCTTTTCTTCTTCTGTATGTCTTAATGCTAATTTGGCACACTTTATGACTTCTGCCAGCCAGTAGAAAACACCAGAAGAAGCATTACAGTAATTGCTCAGACAGTTACTGCACTTCATTTACTGCAATAGACTTAAAGGCCACAAGAAAGTTATTGTACTGCTGGTCATTCTTTAGATTTAGTGAATGTCTTTTCTTTGCTGCAAAGAGTCTTTTTTTCAGCTTATGGATATATTAGTGTGTCCAAAATGTGAGAAATGACTGGCAGTTTGCAGCAAAACACTTAAACCATTAGTGGGACGAGCACTTAAGGTTTAGAAGAACTCAAGACCACCACATTGAATGCATCCTTAAATAGCACTTTCACTTTTAAACTATTTTATCCCCACGTTTTGTTCAGTAAATAGTAGAGGCCTACATTATGCCATTTTATGCTGGCATTGTTATGTAATCCTATTCAGGTGAACCACATTCAGCCAGCATGAGCATCGGTTTACACAACTCTCGATTAAAGAGAGACATCCACACGCATGTCGAGGTATGCATGTGCCATTTTCCACATGTGCACGCTTGTGTAGACACACAGGGTGCCCACACACACCTACTCACACAGTCACACACACACTCCAGAGAAAAGTTCTCCTATTGACAAAAAGGGTCACAGAGTTCACAGCTATGTGATATATTGGAAGAGGAGACTATTAACCTCATCAGGTCTCTTTCTTTGGCAGCAAAGACGAACCGGTAGTAACTTGAACACTTATCCCCCCACCACACACACACAC